ATTCAGTGACAATTAACCAATCAGAGCGCGCGTTATATCGGCCACAAGCCAAAGCCATATAATAAATACTAGTTATGCTCTTTTTGTGGTATACCATGGAATATCCCACGAGTCACTTGTGTTTTCTTGGTAAACACACGAACCTTTAGGACAAGTAGGACATTCATGTTATGCCATGAGAGAGCGTCACGTAACTATTTTATACCATGCCATAGAAAATACAATGGCCAACAGAATTAATGCGACATACGCGCGGTGCATGATGGGAAGGTGCGATGTAATACCGTCGAATATACAACGGCTTTCCTGTATTCTGATTGGCTGTATTCCAAAATGGCGGCTGTCTCAGACGATCTGGGTCGAGTAGCATAAGAGCGAGGCATTATGGCATGGTATATATCCGCTTACGAACGGAGGACTAGAAGTTTTTCTAGTTTAACTTGTTTCCTCTCGATAGGAGCGTCTGTGTCACCTTATGTTAGCTAGTGTATTACTTTTTACGAGATATACAAAATTGGTTACTTTCTTTGAGAAGGGAGCGTCAAAGAAATAATATTCTCTGCGACTGGTAAAATATAAGCAAAGTGGTAACAATACTTGACAGTAGCAGTACTACTCGTTCTTATATAGGGGCAACTTAATAGCGCTCTTGCATTTCCGGAGAAGCAAGTCAAAACAATTAAAGGACTATAAGACGATTGCTATGCCAACAAGCTTTCTACAACTTCTTTTGCATTCATTTGTGCGTAGTGTTGCGAAGAAGTCGTCATCAAAATGAAAGATGATCAGTTCAGGATGCTTAAGTATTTTTCCTNTTTGCCAAAGTTTGCTCGTCCTCTTTACTCTTTTTTCTTATCATGCTTTTTGGCACTTCCATAAATAAATTTTGTTAGATGAAAATAGTCAATGATTTCGCATTTTAGTTTGCAACTTTTTCACCACAAAACATTACCGGTCTAGATGCCGGTCTCTATGTGAAAATCTAGACCGCTTTCAATATCGATTTCAGCCAATCAAATTCGTGAATTTGGTAGTTCCCAGTCCTTGTGAGACAGAGCCATATAATAACGTCGAATATAAAACGGCTTTCCTGTATGCTGATTGGCTGTATTCCAAAATGGCGATCTGAGTCGAGTAGCATGAGAGCGAGGCTTTATGGCATGGTATATATCCGCTGACGAACGGAGGACTAGAACTTTTCCTGGTTTAACTTGTTTGCTCTCGATAGGAGCGTCTGTGTCACCTTATGTTAGGTAGAGTATTACTTTTTACGAGATATACAAAATTGGTTACTTTCTTTGAGAAGGGAGCATCAAAGAAATAATATTCTCTGCGACTGGTAAAATATAAGCAAAGTGACAGTAACAGTACTACTCGTTTTTATGTAGAGGTAACCAGTTAATAGCGCTGTTGCATTTCCGGAGAAGCAAGTCAAAATAATTAAAGGACTATAACACGATTGCTATGCCAACAAGCTTTCTACAACTTCTTTTGCATTCATTTGTGCGTAGTGTTGTGAAGAAGTCGTCATCAAAATGAAAGATGATCAGTTCAGGATGCTTAAGTATTTTTCCTGGACGTTAAACTACCGCGCGACCCTGAAGCATAGAATACAACGAGAGTAATGAGACTATAATATGTCCCGTTGAGGACTGAGCAAGCTAGGTGAGCGATAAATGGTTCATAATCACACCCTCCCTACGAATAAATGTACTCATTCTTGCTCAACGCGCGCGTCCAAGTCGACCACAAAACTTGCATTTTCCGATCACTTCGTGGAAGTTTATCTAGGATTGTTACAGTGTGCGTGACGCACTTTTAGGGTCAGCTTACACCACAGTGGTCCACCATGGGTCAGTGACATCAACCACGTCAATTACCAAGCAGCAAGAAGAGCTTTGAACACCGGTGAGTGACTGTTTGTTTATTTGTTTGTTTTGGTTTGTTTGTTGATCTGCTGATGTGGCGTGATTAATGTAACGTGTTCGTATCATTTTGTTGAGTAACGTTCTACAAAATCAAACGCCGTTATTTTGGGGTTTTGAGTGATTTAGACACAGCTGTAGCTTTTCGAATTCGCACTAAACGTCAGTTGTAATCCACTTCCATCCTTGCCATATTTAGTCATTCTCTCTTTCTAATGAGATCCTTTTTCAAGTTTGGTTCTTCGAAGTTAAACCATTATTGTTGGGTTTCCTGTTGTGAATAGCGTCTAAAAAAGATGAATACAGCGCAGGTTTTGATGTTCTCTTTCGTTTTGAACAGTTCATGGCGTGGCGCCCGACCTTACTCGTGATGGGTGTAGTATCCCTGTGACTCTAGCCTTGCAGGACGCCCTTCAAAAGAACATAGTACTTTTACCAATCGGAGCGTGTGACGATGGCGCGCACTCGCAGAACGAGAAGATAAATCGTGTGAACTACATCCAGGGGGTGAGTGGTGACTACACTTCTTTGTACGGTTAAAATTAGATGTAGGACTTCTGCGAGAATGTCTCCGTTAGCCACTAACAGTGTATTGTGCCCTTGAGTTGGAG